TTTTAAATATTAATGAAAGACAAGAAACTATAACTGATTCTTTAAAACCTCCTGATGATCGAAGCAAATCACGAATTTTATGGAGGTTCGCAAAATCATGTGACATTTTTATTCGTACACTCAAAATTATACTTTTACCGGTAAATATATTTTTCTTGAGACTCAATAATAAATAAAATACCGTTCAATTCTTGTCTGTCTCTTGCACTTATTAATCAACTATATTCATTATTTGGCTCTGATAAAATGTTAATATTCATTTAATATTCATTGATGTTATAATTAAAATTTTGTTAACAATTAAATATATTATTAAAGCAAAGAATGATTTTCATTTTCATCCTTATAAATCTTGTGTTTCTCTGGGTTATTTAGTAAAAAAACTGTAAGATAAATGTTTTTAAAATTTTTAGATTCATCTTGGTTGTTAATATATTCCAAATTTTTGAATTTCAAAAATAGGCCAGATTCTTCTTTGTGACTCATAATATTATAAGATTGAGAGAAATGTGAATTCTTATTATAAAAAAAAAAAAAAATGCAAATCCATTAAATCCGTTGGAAGGGTATGATTAATGATTAATTCCTGTGGGAGTCTCTAGTGCTTGATTTATTGATTGATTGATTTGATATAAAACTTTCAATAGTTGGTTATTAAACTTTAAACTTTCAAATAAAAAACCGAGTCTTCATTTTTAAAATCTTGTAACATTGGAAATAAGAACTCTTCATTATGAAAGATGCGGACTTATTTTTGACTTCTGGTCATCTTGTTCCGAGTTCCTAAATATTTCAATTCTTATGATTTGGTATTGCGAAACATTAGCTGAATAAATTTAATTAAACTATTAAAACCAAGGTCTATGAACCTGAAACATACTCTTCTTAATTCATAATGTCTAATGAAATTTTTCAAGAATATATTCCAAAAATATTATCAATGATCTTAGCGGACGGCTTGAATATATTGCCTGCGGATTATTTCTTTAATTATTTTAATGGGTGAAATCTTAAATCTAATATCCTTTTTTTTACGTTAATTATTTTGATGGGCAAAATCTTAGATCTAATATCTTTTTTTATACTGTAAGTTCTACTAATTCTTTAGCAGTCGATCTTCCTAATGGATCAATATCCCAACATTTTCCTATTAGTTTAACAATTTGTTGTGGTATGTTTTTAATAATTGTGAGACGAAGACCATTAAGAATATTTATACGTAATAGGATATGTCGTATCTAAAGTTACCATATATCTGAAGTTGCAACTTTAGATATATAAGGTTGATCTGACTAAAATTAGGCCCTGAAATTAGATCTTCATACATATAATTCCGGTTAGGTGCAACTTTATATATCTAAAGTTGCAACTTCAGATAGATAGTAACTTTAGATACGACACCATGAAATAACCATAATTTCTGGATCTCACGTATTTATCGTAAATTTCTAACTAAATAAAATGATTTTATTGTATAAAAATGGTTATATCAAAATTTGTATACCTATTTTTTTTATGATACAAACTTCATTCAAAAAGCCCTCTTCAATATTCTCAGAATAATCAAGACTTTTAAGAACAACATTACAATTCTGATGATATCGTTCATATATAAGTTTCTTTCAGTTCCATTATGAAATCTTTACCATCTTTCCATTGGTTTATATATTTTACTAAAACCTCTTTCAGCAATATATTTAATGTTGATAAACTTTCAAATAGAACATATAATGATGTTTTGATTCATATGATAATTTTTTATCAGCTAATTTGTTACCACCCTGTGGTGTTAAATCACAAACCACGTAACATGGAGAATTCTCATTTTTTATGACGCCATATACAGTATAACCACATTCGTCGTATTCATGATTCAAAGAATATTCATACTCGTATTGAAGAGTAATTTTTTCTGGACTTGATATGTCTAACGTTTAAGATTTCATGTCAATAATAACTGAAATTAATAAATTCTATATTATTATTATCACTTTAAATAATCCATTCATGCATCCAGAACACTTCTACAGAATTCATTTAGAGAAAAACAATATGTTGTAGCACACTACTTACGAAAAAAAAATATAGTACAAAACTTAATTATAATTTTTATTTTTGACCAAAATAATTTTTTGACCATTCCATGCCAAAAAGGCTTTTTTCAAACTATATTATTATGCATTTATAATCAGAATTTACAAAAAAAACTGGTATGATTAGTATTAAATTATTCTCAAAATATTTAAAACCATTAGTTTTGGATACCTGATGTTTCTATTTTAGATATATAAAAAAAACTTTCTATTTTAATATATTGTTCCATCAGAGAACAGACCGTATTCATATAGAATCTGTACTCTAGAAGGTCTCAGCTCATCCTTTACTGATCTCAAGCTCTAGTAATTTATGTCAGAAATATATAGAGATAAATACAATTTTTCAGATGGTACAGTACAGAACAGGCTACAATGGTGTTCTTTGTTTATCTATATATATTTATATAACGATTAAACTCAAGTTCTATAGCGATAAATCATATTTTACTGTATTTAAATATAATCAATCATTATACGCATATTTATATAGATTTGTAGAATTCTTTTCTTATGGTAATGTTGAGTCAGTGTGTATTCGAAGATAATTATAGTAGTTTTGATAACTGCGTAATTATCAGTAGATAATATTGATGTTAAATATAATACCCGAGTATGAGGATAAATACAATTTTTCATAAAAACATTCCTTGAGTTTCATAGCGATAGCATATCTTAAATACTCGAAAGCATGATAAGCGTCATGTTGAGTTATTGTATATCCGAAAAACATTTACCAGTAGATAATATCGATATTAAATATGATATTAGAAATATATAGGAATAAATATAAGTACGCATCGCAATGAATGAATCTGTGTTATGCATGCGATCCTGAAACAATGATTCGAACATGGGCAATGATACAGTATTGACTATTGCATAAAAGAATTTCAACTAAGAACTACAAGTGTGAGTATGTTATTGAATGGATTCCATATAATAAATTAATAACTATTATTGAATTAATTGGTAAAGGAGGATTTGGCTAGAGATGTTAAATGATCGGTCCCAACTGACTCGACTCCAGAAGTATCAGATTCAGACTCAAGTTTAATCATGTGACATAGATTTCAGAGATAGCGATAATGATAATAATCATTTATTTAATAAGAAAAAAATAAAAATTTCCTTTATTTAATATAATATTGAACGATAACAAATAAATTTCCTCTATTTAATATAATATATTGAACGAAAACAAATAAAAAAAATTTTTTTTCTATTCTAAAACTCCTGTCTCTAACCAACTTTTCAAGCACAAAGAAGCTCTGACTGTCTGATCTAAAAGACGATTTTGGGTGAGATCAATAGTGTTCTTTGCTACAGAGAAAGATCGTTCACAAGGAACACTAGTTGTTTGTAGAGCAAAGTAATCAGCTGCCATGCAAGCTAAAGTCAGAAAATGAGGGGTGTTGATTTTCCACCAGAGCAGAGGATTGACTCCTGGTTCGCATGGCAAGGGAAGATAAGATGTTACTTCATTTTCTTCTTCAGTTTCATTTGGTTGCATAAGCTTTCAAAAAGCTTCTAATGGATCCAATTTAAGAGTTTTTTTCAAGTCATCCGTTTCATATAACAAATGAATTATTTTTAATTGATTAGTAGATAAGTTATAGTCAGTATTATAGAAACCTCCAAATTTTATTGATGGATCCAAAAGGGCGGGAATTGCAGAAGTGTGAGAAAGATAAATCTAATACTCACTTAATTTATTCTTTATTCCTTTAACTACTTCTTTATATGAATCTAGTATACTATAATGATTAAGGTGTGAAAGAAGACCCTGGATAATTATTCGCAAAGAGCTATGAGAGGGTTGTGAGGCACTTGATAAAGTCATAGTCACATCATAAAAAGGTTTGAGAAACTCTATCATTTCTTTAATTACTTTCCAATTATTAAACTCCAAGTAATCATTTTTTATATCAGGACGAGATTGTATGAGACTATCTGTATAGCTTGGATCTCAATAAGCCATTTAAACATCAAGTAGGTGGAATTTCACCGTGTCTCTACATCAATTTCTGGATAAAGAAATGAACAATTTAAAATAGCAGCAATCCTCTCCATTTCTTTTAAAAGTGAAGGTGATTTTTTTAATTTATTACAAAAATAATGTGCCTTTTTAATTTGATTAAAATAATTTTTTAGCCTTCTCTGACTATGAGATTGATGACATGTGCTGTATAGCATACATATATAAAATTAAGATCTATAGACTTTTGGAGATAACGAAAGCATGTTATATTATTTCTTGCATTGTTACCCATAAAACCAATTATTTTTTGTCTAATTTCTAAATTATTAACAAGTTTAAAAACCTTTTCTCCTATATAATTACTAGTATAGGCATCATGTAAAGGAATAAAATTAAAAAGAAGCATTTTTGTTGATTATTCAATATTGATCCATGTATAGTAATTCCAAGAAAAGACTGTTAATTACACACAGTCCAAATATCAAGGGTAAGTGTTAATTTACTTTTGTTTATTTTTAAGACCTCTTTTATTCTTACTCTTGCTAAATCAAATTGTCTTTGAACATTAATAAAAAGTGTTTAATGGCAGGGCATTTCATAGCATGGATCAAGGTTGAAGACTAATTTGATAAAAAAATTATCTTTAACTATAGAAAAAGGTTGTTGTTTAATAATAATCTATTTTAATAAATTGTAATTCAAAAACTTAATTTGATTTCTTTCAGTTTTTATAGTCATCAAATAAAGAGAAGGCCAATTTGAAACATCTTGCTGAAAATCTCTAAAGATAAGTGGATGTTTTACTTTAAAATAACAATTTCTATTGAAATTGATATATCTTCTGGCTATTTATTTTGGCATATTTTACAAAGTTTGAAGGTTTCATCACTAAGTTTATCGATATATTCATGAACTAGTACAACTTTTTATCTAATTCTTAGATGTTGTTTTTTAGAATGATTAATTTTTGCAGAATATTTATAATGACTGTGTTTAATGAAATTTTCAGAATTAGAACCTTCTGAATAATCAGGTTCTGTAAAATTTTTAGTTTTCTGAAGAGAATTTTGAATATCTTTAGAAAAAGACTTAATAGAGAAATCAGTAATCAAATAAGGTATAGTTATAATTTAAAATATTATATTTGTTTAAAGATAACCAAATTGATGGATAAGAAAAAGAAGGCAAGAGACTTTATATGATTTTTTGCGATTTATAAATTAATGCAATAAGTTTATTATAATTATTAATTTTTTTGGTTTGTATAGTACAAAACCAAATTATATTGCATCTAGACTTATACGATTTTAGGGATTCCATTGCTTAAATAATGAATCTCTAAAACCAAATAAGTAAAAGGGTGCTTGCTAAGCTTTAAAATCTTTATTAGCTAATAAAAATAATTAATAATAATTATTTTTATTATGGCCTAATCAGAATTTTTAATACTTCATAATTACTCTTTTCAGACTAGTTCAATAGATCTAAATATAGACTTCTATCTTGTGTGGCATGATTATAGCTTTACTATGAGAATGCCCTTTTTAAACTAGTGGATAGTAAACCTATTACCTTCATCACGAATTTTTTCAAGTAGATTTATAACAATATATAACGCTTAATCATTTTATATCGATTAAATTTAAATGCTAAACATCGATTAATTTGTTATTTAGCGATATATATCATAAATCGCTAATTATTGATAATGGGTAAGAAATCGATATAGATCAAATTATCGATTATCATCGAACTAACCAAAATCGTAATATATCGATCACTACGTTATTAATCGATAATTAACACTTTAATTAGAAATATGTGTAACTTTAATTAGAAATATATGTAACTTTAATTGATAT